GAACAATTTACCTAGAATGCTTAGCATAGCCTTTTTTTAAAGATGTATCAAAATATTTAATTCACAGTTAAAATTCCGCTATATATAAATGTTTATACGCTTTGAGTTACAAAAAGGGGCCATGACCGCCTTGTATCGACTCAACATGACTCTGCAGTATTTACAGAATGCTGTGAAATATTCCATACTCATTGACGTAAATTCTTCTGTGCCTTTATCAGGGAATAGTAACAATTCGGAAACATTTTATTCCCATTTGTAAGGGGAATGAGTGAATCTGCCTGAGTTTGATTTGCTAAAGTTTTGGCAAAACTAGTTTGAAATTCAGGAAATCTTAGTGACAAATCCTATTGGTGTCTATGGAGCTGAATCTTGGTAGCAAACCATGGATTTGTAGGGCTAATAGGTGAGCTATTGTTAAAAAAACAAAAACAAAAACAGTTTGAAGGTTTGAAGTCGGTCACTGCCATGGGGAACATATACTATGTCTTTAAAAAATATCATACGGTGGGAAGAGGGAAAACACAAATCTTTTAAAATACGGGTTTGGGGATACCAAGTGGTATTATGGAACAATATGATTTGCACAGAAAACCTCAGTGACTGCGTACTTTAGTAGCACATATTTGGCTGTGGAATTATTTTTTCTTCTTTTACGCACATCTTGTCTTCTTATAGCAGCAGGACTTCTGATAAATTTGATAAATTTCAAGGCATTTCTTCAGGTAGCAGTAACACATGGGATCGGCGGACAGAAATTTGCTGAGTCTGTCCCAGGGGCGGACTGAAAACTCTTCGGGCCCCCGGGCAATTGGGGATCATGGGGCCCCTGTGTCCTTGCCCAAACTCTAAAAAGCCTATGAAAAAAGGTACCAGGGGCATCTCATGGGGCCCCCTACTGACCCGGGCCCTCGGCCAGTGCCTGAGTTTCCAAATGGTCAGTCCGCCCCTGGTCTGTCCCTGTTCTTGCGGATGCAACATTGTTCCCTACTCTTGGCCAATTTCTGTCAATTTCCTATTAAGAGTTTAAAGATCACAGATGATACAGCAGTGTAAAGATTATTCAACAGCTGGGCAATTTTTAACCCCTTCCCCCAAAAGGACTTATCCATAGGTCCTTTGGTTAAAGAGGTTATACTGGGGCCATGGCTGCAGCTACCAGCGATGCTCTACAATGTAAAAGCAATCCTACTGTCTAAAAAGCCACTGGATTGCTTTTACAAGCGGTGGAAGGGGTTTCCCCCATCCTGCCGCCTTCCTGTGCCCTCCCGTTCCACCGGAGAGCCCGGAACTGAAGCCAGTAGTTCCTCCGGTTTACCATGGAGATGACTGAGCACAAGAACGTCTCCGATCATCTCTATGCTCTAAGAAACCAGAAGGGAAGATTATATTGTCCCTTCTGGTTTAAGTGTCATGTAAATAGGTTTTAAAAGCATCCGAACAAACTGATCTTGGTTTGGTCAGATGCTTTTAAGGGCAGAGCAGAGATTTGGGGTCTAAAAGACCAGAGATATCTTAGTAAAGATTACCTGCCACTGCCCCAGCTATCACAAGGTATGTTGCTCTTCCCTTTTGATAGCAATAAAGTTGATAAAAAAAAATTAGAGAGAGTGTAGAAAAAAAATAAAATAAAAAAAGTACATGATCATGCTCAAAGGTGAATGCATGTGTAGGTCATGCACACATATGTAAACGGTGTTCTCACCACGCATATGAGTGTCACTGCTAGTGAGAGCAATAACTCTAGCACCAGAACTCCTGTATAACTCTAATCTGGTAACCTGCAAAGGCTTATAAAGCGTCAACTATTTGGTATTACATTGGGGTTGATTTACTAAAGGTAAATATTTATTTATTTCAGGTACTTATATAACGCCGTCAATTTACATATATATTAAACATTCACATCAGTCCCTAACCCTCAAGGGCCATACAATCTAAGGTCCCTAACTCACATTCATATACAAGGGCCAAGTTAGCCAGGATTCAATTAGCCTACCAGCATATTTTTGGAGTGTAGGAGGAAACCAGAGTACCTGGAGGAAACCCACGCAGGCACAGGGAGAGCATGCAAACTTCAGGCAGGTGGTGCCATGGTTGGGATTTGAACCAATAACCCCTAGTACTGCCAGGCAGAAGTGCTAACCATTTAGCCACTGTGCTGCCACACACTGTGCACTCCAAGTGCAGTTACTTTAGATCAGAGGGGAACATGCAAAGGAAATTTAAAAAACAGCATTTTTGCTTGCATATGATTGGATGAAAGAAATCAGCAGTGCTTCACCTCATTTCAGAGCTTCCCCTTGGATCCAAATCAACTGCATTTGCAGTGCACAGCCTATTTACCTTACGTAAATCAACCTCAATGTTTTTGTGCATTAATGTTCACTAAAGTGTATTTTTTTTAAAATTGCGTTTGAAAAACCATTGTGCAAATACCACGTGACATATAAAATTGCAATATATAAAATATATATAATGTTTGGGGGTTCTAAGTAATTTTAAAAAAGATGATTTTTTACACTCATGTGAGAAGTGTCAGAATAGGCTTGGGAAGAGAGTGGTAAAAGAGAAGTATGTTTTTTTCCGTTCTTACCTAGGTGGATGCAGCATTGTACTGATCCTGCATCTGTCCCCCAATGTCTCTATGGGTGAGAACTCAGCGATCACATGACTGCTGAGTTCTCACACCCGCTCTGAGCAGAGAGAGGTGACTGTCAGTCACCAATGTCTGCTCTACTCCCCCCCTCCGCTCACTGGAGTGCTGGGCTGTGGAGGGGAAGGCAGTGGCTGGCTCAGGCTTTCAGCAGATCGCTAAAATCGCTAAGAGCCTGAGCCAGGTGCCTCTCCAGACTCTGGAGTCAGGATCTTTCCCCAGGCTGTACTAGAGTGTCGTCAGCTGTCAGCTGAAAATGGGTCACAGAAGTATAGAACAAACTGCACTCCTGTGATCCACAGGAGAAGCACAGCCAAAGGAGCTTTGGCTGTACTTCTCCTTTAAAGGGCAAGACTAGGCCGAAATGTACTAGAGACACAATGGCACAGGGTAGTCTGGGCCAGAATATACTAGAGACACAATGGCACAAGGCAGACTGGGCCATAAGATGCTAGAGACACAATGGCACAGGGCAGACTGGGCCATAATATACTAGAGACACAATGGCACAGGGCAGACCGGGTCATAATATGCTAGAGACACAATGGCATAGGGCAGACTGGGCCATAATATGCTAGAGACACAATGGCACAGCGCAGACTGGGCCATAATATGCTAGAGACACAATGGCACAGGGCAGACCGGGTCATAATATGCTAGAGACACAATGGCATAGGGCAGACCGGGCCATAATATGCTAGAGACACAATGGCACAGGGCAGACTGGGCCATAATATGCTAGAGACGCAATGGCGCAGGGCAGACTGGGCCAGAATATACTAGAGACGCAATGGCACAGGGCAGACTGGGCCAGAATATTCTAGAGACACAGGGAACATGGCAGTTTTAAGCAGAAATGTATTAGAGACAGAGAGCACAGGCAGGTGTTTTACTACAAGAATTAGGAGACTGCAGATGATAAAGCAATGTAAAAACTGACCTGCGGCAGGACGGTTTTAATGAACAACACTAGGTCTAAATGTACTCTTGACACAATGCAGAAGCAGGTGTTTTACCACAAGAATTAAGAGACTGTAGATGATACAATAGGCCAGGGACAGACTTCAAGAATTGGCTAAACCAGTCTTTCCCTAGACTCTAACAACAAAGAGTGTGTACAGCAGAAGATGAGGTGGAGGGGGGGAAGTCACTGCTGTGGCTGATTCAAGAGTATGTGTAAGCTTGGGCTATTGAGCTCTGTAAACAGCAGACCTGCTGTAGAGTTATTTGCTGTAAGGTCACAGTAAGAGCTGTGAAAATGTGGAATAGACTCCCTCAAGAACTAGTTTCTGGTCAGCTCAGTGGATTGTATTAAAAAGGGGCTAGGGTGTGTTCCTAAATGCACAAAACATAACTGGATAAGAACATTTATAGGTAATAAACACCAGGGAGTGTTGATGCTGGAATTATCAGATTGCCTTCTGGTGGATCAGGAAGCAATTTGTGTTTCCACAACTTTGCTTGAGCTAGACAGACTTGTGTCTTTTTTTCAACCTGATTAACGTAACTATAAAAAATGAAGCTATGGAGACTAAGGAAAGTAAAACATGTTAAAAGAAGCCAACAGTTCCACCTGCTGGCTGGATAGAAAACTTTATATGTAATATTTTATATTTATCTTTCTTAAATATTTTTCAGCCATGTTCATAATACACAAAGAAGGAAAACACGCTATATTGCCAAAAGTATTGGGACACCTGCCTTTACACAGACATGATATTTAATGCCCCCCCAGTCTAGTCCGTAGGGTTCAATATTGAGTTGGCCCCGCCCTTTGCAGCTATAACAGCTTCAACTCTTCTGGGAAGGCCGTCCACAAGGTTTAGGAGGGTGTCTATGGGAAGGTTGGACCATTCTTCCAGAAGCACATTTGTGAGGTCAGGCACTGATGTCGGGGGAGGAGGCCTGGCTCACAGTCTCCGCTCTAATTCATCCCAAAGGTGTTCTATGGGGTTGAGGTCAGGACTCTGTGCAGGCCAGTCAAGTTCCTCCACCCCAAACTGGCTCCTCCATGTCTTTATGGACCTTTGCTTTGTGTACTGGTGCGCAGTCACGTTGGAACAGGAAGGGGCCATCCCCAAACTGTTCCCACAAAGTTGTGAGGATGAAATTGTCCAAAATGTCTTGGTATGCTGACACCTTCAGAGTTTTCGTCACTGGAACTAGGGGGCCAAGCCCAACCCCTGAATAACAACCCCCATCATAATCCCCCCTCCACCAAACTTTAAACTTGGAACAATGCAGTCAGGCAAGTACCATTCTCCTGGCAACCGCCAAACCCAGACATTGGATTGCCAGACAGAGATGTGTGATTCATCACTCCAGAGAACACGTCTCCACTGCTCTAGAGTCCAGTGGTGGCGTGCTGCTTTACACCACGTCATCCGCCGCTTTGCATCGGACTTGGTGATGTAAGGCTTGGATGCAGCTGCTCAGCCATGGAAACCCATTCCATGAAGCTCTCTACACACTGTTGTTGTGTTAATCTGAAGGCCACACCAAGTTCGGAGGTCTTTATCTATTGACTCTGCAGACAGTTGGTGACTTCTGCGCACTGTGTGCTTCAGCATGCGCTGACCCCGCTCTGTCATGTGACGTGGCCTACCACTTGGTGGCTGAGTGGCTGTTGTTCCCAGTTGCTTCCGCTTTGTTATAATCCCACTAACAGTTGAGCGTGGAATATTTAGTAGCCAGGAAATGTCACGGATGGACTTATTGCACAGGTGGCCACCTATCACGGGACCACGCTTGGAGTCACTGAGCTCCTGAGAGCGACCCATTCTTTCACCAATGTTTGTAGAAGCAGTCTGCATGCCTAGGTGATGATTTTATACACCTGTGTCCATGGAGGGGATTGGAACACCTGAATCACATGATATTGGGTGGAGGGGATTGGAACACCTGAATCACATGATTTGGAGGGCGGGACCAATACTTTTAGCACTATAGTGTATATGTAAAACCACTCTACATTTCCATGTAAAAATATCACAGTACATTCTATCATTTACAGAAAGGGATAACTATCATAACTGAATTTTGGAGCACCCAGGGACCTTGGTATAATTTGGTAGGCAGGCTGATTAAACACTGGAATGTCAAGGTGAAAGATTAAAATAATTGGGGATAACGGGCATGTGAATCTCTGCAAGCGAAATTATGTCTGCCAGCTTCATATCATCGTCACTAGTTATCTCTCACACACAAGGTAATGTTATGTAAACCCCAGCTGCTCCACACGGAGGATCTACAAAGCTGTAATCCAGCCAGCTGCATGGCGTTTATGCGTGACGTCTGACTCCCGCAATGCTGGAACACTGATGTTCCACAATCGTGAAACAGATATGGATCAGATGTTGTCAGAAAAATCTGCCCTTCTAGCTAGCAGTGTGATCACACCCAAACTGCAATTAGTACTCGAGAAATATGACGGCACAACACGTGTTGTAACATTTAATGTGAAATATGCACGGCAGTGAACCCATTGAAAAAGCTAAACACAGATGCAATAGATAAGAGGGAGCTGGCTTACTTGCCAAATGATTTGTGTTTCCATCCATCCAGTCCTCAGATTTACACTGCTCTGCCATACACCACAGGGCACAAAACCTGATTTTTCTCTGCTGCAGATCAGTAATACTTTCATGTAAGCAAGTGCTTTCAAAGGGTTAACATTTTTTTTCTGTTGTGCTCTGGGTTAACTGTGTTATTTGTACAGCTAAATCATTACAATATACAGTTGTGTTCAAAATAATAGCAGTGTGTTGAAAAAAGTGAATAAAGCTCAAAATCCTTTAATAGCTTTTATTTCCATACACACAAATGCATTGGGAACACGACACGTTCTATTCAAAATCAAAACATGAAGAAAAATAGATCAAATTTGTGTTGTTCCTCTAAAAAAAAATGAAGAAAAGTGAATATTAGACGGTTCAAAAAAATATGTTTTATTCTTCTTTACAAACTCAAACATTCACTATATAAACTGAAAAATGTTTGAAGATTTTGCTTTCCTTTGAATGACTTCATGAATATTTGGTTGTAGTCGCTCTGTTTCTGAGAACTGCTGTACATCTGTGTTGCATGGAGTCACCCAACTTCTGGCCCCTGTGATCAGGTATTCCAGCCCAGGATGATTGGACTACATTCCACAGTTCTTTTCTATTTCTTGGTTTTGCCTCAGAAACTGCATTTTTGATGTCACCCCACAAGTTTTCTATTGGATTAAGATCCGGGGATTGGGCTGGCCACTCCATAACGTCCATCTTGTTGGTCTGGAACCAAGATGTTGCACGTTTACTGGTGTGTTTTGGGGTCGTTGTCTTGTTGGAACACCCATTTCAAGGGCATTTCCTCTTCAGCATAAGGCAGCATGACCTCTTCAAGTATTCTGATGTATTCAAACTGATCCATGATCCCTGGTATGTGATAAATAGGCCCAACACCGTAGTATGAGAAACATCCCCATATCATGATGCTTGCACCACCATGCTTCACTGTCTTCACAGTGTACTGTGGCTTGAATTCAGTGTTTGGGGGTCGTCTGACAAACTCTCTCCGGCCACTAGACCCAAAAAGAACAATCTTACTTTCATCAGTCCACAAAATGTTGCGCCATTTCTCTTTAGGCCGGTCAATGTGCTCTTTGGCAAATTATAACCTCTTCAGCACATGTTTTTTTTCCAACAGTGGGACTTTGCGGGGGCTTCTTGCAGATAGCTTGGCTTCACATAGGCGTCTTCTAATTGTAACAGTCCTCACAGGGAACTTTACACCTTCTTTCATCTTCCTGGAGCTGATTGTTGGCTGAGTCCTTGTCATTTTGGCTATTCTTCTATCCATTAGAATGGTAGTTTTTTTCGCTTTCTTCCACGTCTTTCAGGTTTTGGTTGCCATTTTAAAGCATTTGCGATCATTTTAGCTGAGCAGCCGATCATTTTCTGCACTTCTTTATATGTTTTCCCCTCTCCAATCAACTTTTTAATCAAGGTACGCTGTTCTTCTGAACAATGTCTGGAACGACCCATTTTCCTCAGAATTTCAGAGAGAAATGCACTGTAACCAGCATGTACAACATTTGCTGCCTTCCTTCCTTAAATAAGGGCAATAATTGCCACCTGTTTTTCAAAGAATGAATGACCTCACTAATAGAACTCCACACTGCTATTATATTGAACATGCCCCTTTCAATTAGTGATTCAATGACACAGAAACAGCAGCATGCATGTCATGACTGTTGGGTCTGTTGGATTTCTATTACTCTGTTACACCTGCTAGGAAATTATTTGCCATGTAGAAATATCATTTCTACCAAAAACAGTGAATTATCCGGTTAGTGATGTCTGACTACTAATATTTTGAACACAACTGTAGATGTGTGTGTTGTGTCCTTGGGTTGACCTGTTAGGTTGGTGGATCTGAGAAGGAAGGGTTAACTGGCTAGGTTTTTCTGCTCTTTCACAGGAGGTTGCCGACTGCTTCAGGTCATAACATATAAATAGGGGCTCTTTAGTGTCCCAGAGGGGGTCTGGAGAGTTCTGTCAGACTGAGCCCCCATCTGGGGGCCCAGTTGGGGTTCCCTTTGGGGTCTGGAACCTGAGGACTTACATGGACTTATAGCTGCCAGTTATAGGCTTACTGCCTTTTGTGGATTACTGCCAAATCATGGACTTTAACCCCTTGCCCTTCGGAGGATTTACCCCCCTTCCTGACCAGGCCATTTTTTGAGTTACAGCGCTGCGTTACTTTAACTGACAATTGCACGGTCATGCAACACTGCACCCAAATTAAATTTACATCCTTTTATTTCCCCACAAATAGAGCTTTCTTTCAGTGGTATTTGATCACCTGTGCGTTTTTTATTTTTTGCGCTATAAAAAAAAGACCAATTTTGACAATTTTGGAGTTTTTGCTATAAAACATGTCCAGTAAAAAAAGTTAAAAAAATCAAATTTTGTCATAAATTTAGGGCAAAAAAAAAATGCACTCTGCGACATGTCTTTGCTAAAAAAAAAATCCCAATACATGTAAATTAATTGGTTTATGTGAAAGTTATGGCGATTACAAATGGCAGTATATACATTGGCATGTTTTTTTTGCGGTGGACATGCTGACACTGGGGGGGGGGGGGGGGGGGAACTGACTTGGTGTCATTAACATCCTCAGTGACACCAATACAGTGATCAGTGCTAAAAAAAAGCACTGACACTGTACTAATGGCACTGGGCAGGAAGGGGTTAACATGACGGGCGATCAAAGGGTTAGCTGTGTGCTGTTTTACTTGTGTCTGTGTGCTTCACTGTAAGCACACTGCTTTGCATGGCTGTGCTATGCAGAGCCATGCAAAGCAGTGTGCAGGAGCTGAGAGGGAGGAGAACTGTTTTGATCCTCGGGGGTATAGAAGCCACCTGCCCAGGAACTAGATCATTAACACCAACATTAATACCTTAAGATACCAATACCAGTAAAATAAACCTACGGGTCCAGCACTATCTTTCCATTTTCCTCAGCTCAACTGACAATGTCAGGGGCCTCCGATCACCAGAGCTTAGGGTAGGAGAGGCTGTGGGGAGCGGTCTTGCAGGAGCAGTCTTTGGAGGTTCCCTAGACAGAGCAGGAATTGGCCCCCGCACTGCAAGGGAGGATTTTTACTTTCCCCGGAGTTCAGCTTTAAGTATTATTGTTCCCATTCACATACAACTGACTGCTAACAAGAGGTACTGACCATAAGTGAGTTCAGATCACAGCTGGTCACTCTGCAATCCTACCGATTCCAACATCCTTCTTCTCTTTAATTTTATTGCAAAATGTTTTATTTCAGTAAAAAAAAATTTAGCATATTAAGGCTTATTAGGAAGTGAAAATAAAGTAAGACCTGGGAGTGGAGGAAGATTTACATGTTTACTGGAAAAGAGGTCACTTCTTCTTTCTAAAAACGGAGAGGAGTCTATATGGGGAAGAATTTTGCATTATTTTGTATAATGGTCAATTTTTTTTGATGATCTTTTCCATTGTTATTGCTATAAAACCTTTATCTGATGAACAACTTTCTAATACAGTATTGTAGCACTACCCCCGTAGGAGTCGCTGAGTTTTTGGGTCCCCCTAAAGCAGTTAAAGTGTTACTAAACCCCAGACTCTGCATTCACTCAATTTGGTCTCCCTGGACCCTACATTCACTATATCTGGTCTCCCCGACCCTGCATTCACTATATCCGGTTTCCCAGGACCCTACATTCACTCTATTTGGTCTCCCTGGACCCTGCATTCACTAAATCTGGTCTCCCCGGACCCTGCATTCACTATATCCGGTCTCCCCGGACCCTGCATTCACTATATCTGGCCTCCCCGGACCCCGCATTCACTATATCTGGTCTCCCCGGACCCTGCATTCACTATATCTGGTCTCCCCGGACCCTGCATTCACTATATCTGGTCTCCCCGGACCCCGCATTCACTATATCTGGTCTCCCCGCACCCCGCATTCACTATATCTGGTCTCCCCAGACCCTGCATTCACTATATCTGGTCTCCCCGCACCCTGCATTCACTATATCAGGTTTCCCAGGACCCTGCATTCACTATGGTGTCCGTTTATGAACCAGCAGTAATAGATCGCTGCTCAGTTCTCCGGCATTCTCGGAGAACACAGTTCTCCTGTGAATGCCGTTTATGAAGCATATGTAGATCAGTTCTTCAAACGAAGGGAGAGCGGTCTACAAACGCTGGAAAACGGCTGATTTTACTCTAATCTCGCGAGATTACAGTAAAAGATCAGTTTACTAAGCAGAGGTAAATTATCTCTGCTTAGTTTTCGGTCCCTCCGATTCTCCAGCTCGGGGCTGGAGAATCTGGAGGGAGAACACAGATCTCCAGAGAAGGGCTGAACATATTCTCCTGGGTGTCATAAACTGTGAATGACCAGAGAATAGCTGTGATCCTCTGAATCGCAGCTATTCTGTGTGTCATAAACGG